CTTCTAATACTCATTAAGATCAGACTCCCTCAGGGGCAGTTAGGTGGCGCAGTGGATAGAGCACTGGCCCTGAAGTCAGGAGGACCTGAGTTCAAATCTGGCCTCAGACTAAGCACTTGATACTTACTAGCTGTATGACCCTGGGAAACTCACTTAACTCCAATTGCCTAAGAAAAATAAAATAAAATAAAGCAAAGATAACTCCCTCTTGATACCACAGCTTCTATGGCCACCCTTTCTTTATAGCACAAGTTATGCTTTCTCCCATACTATTGACTCACTAGTCATGATGGGGGAATCAGAATACTTCTTGCTCCCAAATGTCATTTCCAAAGTCTACTCCTCTTCTACCATTATCAACCAACAACTATTCTTCTGCTGAGGTTCATGCTATCTAAAGTATTGCTTCATCTAGATTCTGTTGGCCATTATCTACTTCTACCCACCTCCACTGTTTCCCCACCCAAGACATTCTTCTTTCTTTTTCAGTGAATTAATTCCCTTATACTAAGGGACATCAACATATATGTTGATATTTCCTTCAATACTCTAACTTTCCAGTTATTCAATCTATTGAATTCTTAGGACCTATTCTTCCATTTTACCTTGATTATACAAAAAGATGGTCATAGTCTTTATCTTACATTCACCACAAGTGTTTTACTTCCATGCCCATGAATGTCAAAATTGTTTTGTGATCACAATTATTCAATTTTTTCCTAAACTTCTCAACCCCCTTTTCTCCATTATAATTTCTATTCCTTCTACCCCTCAGTTCTTTCCCAAGTCCTCACTCCTGCACTGGCAAGTGTACACTCCCTTCGCTATCATATCCCAATTCCTTGGTGAACCAGTTCGACTCTACATTATCCTCTCTTTTTGAATATCTTGCCCCATGTCCTATCACTATTATGCCTTGACAAACCTTATCCCTGGATTACATCCATCATTTGCTTCTTTCATTCCTATGTGTAGGCTGCTTAATAAAGCTGGAGAAAATCATGAAACTGTGCTGATTGGGTCTACTGCAAATTTAGGCTATTTAATATCAAATGAGTCTTCAGTGCTGCAAAGCAATCACTGCTTTTCTCTATAATCTACTGTTTTTTTTCTTTAACATGCACTTTTATTTGAACTGGTCTTCAGTGTACAGGTAAAGCTCCTCCCCTCCCCCAAGTACTGGCACCAATCTCATAAAACTCCCAGCGACCTTGTAAAGTCTTCATTCACATCTATTTTGAGTGTAGGGAGGGAATTTAGGGGGCCATTCATTATGGCTGACAATTTATTTAAAAAAAAAAGAAACAAGTATTTTTTAAAATTAATTTATTTTGAATTATCAATAACCAATTCCATAAGCTTTTGAGTTTTACATTTTTCTCCCCCTTCCTCCCCAAGACAGTGCACAATCTGATATAGGCTATACATATACATTCCTATTAAACATATTTTCACATTAGTGATGTTGTAAGTAAGAATTAGAACTAATAGGAGGAACCACCAGAAAGAAGAAACAAAAACCAACAGAAGAAAAAAATAACAAATAGTATACTTCTATCTGCATTTAAACTCCATAGTTCTTTCTTTGGATGTGGATAGCATTTTCCGTCATGAGGCCTTTTGACATGTCTTAGGTCCTTGTATTGCTGAGAAGGGTTAAATCTATCAATATTAGTCATCATATAACGTGGCTGTTCCTGTGTACAATGTTCTCCTGGTTCTGCTCACTTCACTTAGCATCAAACCATACAAGTATTTCCAGGTTTTGCTGAAGTCAGCCTGTTCATCATTTCTTATAGCACAATAGTATTCCATTACATTCATATACCACAGCTTGTTCAGCCATTCCCCAGTTGATGAGCATCCTCTCAATTTCCAATTCTTTGCCACCACAAAAAGAGCTGCTATCAATGTTTTTGTACTGTGTGTCCTTTTCCCATTTGTATGATCTCTTTCGGATATAGTCCTAGAAGTGCTATTGCTGGGTCAAAGGGTATGCACATTTTTATAGCCCTTTGTGCATAGTTCCAAATTGTTCTCTAAAATGGTTGGATCATTTCACAACTCTACCAACAATGCATTAGTATTCCAATTTTCCTACATCTTCTCCAACATTTATCATTTTCCTGTTTTGTCATGTTGGCCAATCTGATGGGTATGAGGTGTCACCTCAAAAGTTGTTTTGATTTGCATTTCACTAATCAATAGTGATTTAGAGCGTTTTTTCATATGACTACAGATGGCTTTAATTTCTTCATGTGACAACTGCCTGTTCATGTCCTTTGACCATTGATCAATTGGGGAATGACTTTTATTCTAATAGATTTGACTTAATTCTCTATATATTTTAAAAAAGAAGCCCTTATCAGAAACACTGGTTGTAAAAATTCTTTCCCAATTTTCTACTTTCCTTCTAATCTTGGTTGCATTGGCTTTCTTTGTGCAAAAACTTTTCCATTTAATGTAATCAAAGTTGTCCATTTTGCTTTTTGTAACGTTCTCCATCTCCTGTTTGGTCATGAGTTCTTCTGTTCTCTATAAATCTGATAGGTAAACTATTCCTTGCTCTCCCAGTTTGCTTACAGTATCAGCCTTTATATCTAAATTATGAACCTATTTTGACTTTATCTTGGTACATGGTGTGAGATGTTGATCTATGCCTAGTTTCTGCCATATTCTTTTCCAGTTTTCCCAGCAATTTTTGTCAAAGAATGAGTTCTTATTCCAGAAGCTGGTGTCCTTAGGTTTATCAAATAATAGATTACTATGTCCATTGACTACTGTGTCTTGCATACTTAACCAATTCCACCACTCTATTTCTTAGCCAGTACAAAGCAGTTTTGATGATTGCTGCTTTGTAATACAATTTAATATCTGGAATGGCTAGGCCACCTTCCCCTGAATTTCTTCTCATTAGTTAAAAGTAACAAATATTAAGGTGAAAGATCTAAAAAGTTCTTTTTAAAGGATTACATAACTTACATGTACTTGTTCCTTTCCCCCCTCTCCATCATGATATTTGTTATTTAGCTCCTTTGCTCCAGCAAAGGACAGGCTTCATAGAGGCTTGTAACTCATTAACAATGTCTTTTTTTTTTTTTTTGGTGAGGCAATTGGGGTTAAGTGACACAGGATCACACAGCTACTGAATATCATGTGTCTGAGGCCAGATTTGAACTCAGGTCCTTCTAACTCCAGGGCTGGTGCTCATATATATATGTAATCAGAGTCCTGAAGGCATACTATAGAACTTTGGGGATGTTTGACTCCAACACACTTTGACTGTTCATCACCTTCACCACCCAAATTTTTTAATCCTGAGTCAAGCACCAAGAACAAAACAAAACAACAAAAACAAAAAATAAAGCCATGCCAATCTCATCTCTCTCTCTCTCTCTCTGTTTCTCTCTTTAGAGGGGGGGCAATTATGTCATACCCTTTGACAAAATAATTTAGCTATTGTTGGTTATTGTTTTAATGTGTAAACTAGCCAAAATGTTTGTTTGGGTTATATGTTGCTTGCTGAAAATTTGCAAGTGTGTGGAAATCTCTAATGATTAGCTTTTTATACCAGGACAAATTTAAGATTGAGATGTAAATCCTGAAAAAGTTTTTCCTAAATTGTGATTAATAAAACTTGCTGCTTGAGATAAAAGCTCATAGGATTTTATTTTGAGTTGTCTGATGGGTCATAATCCATCGATAATCAATAATCCACCATTTGAGAGAAATGCCACAAGCTACTCAGAGAAGGTGATACTGGTGGGAAGTCAGCAGTGGGAAAAGCTGAGAGGACAATTTTAGCCTCAGTCTAAGATGGGATCCTCCTGGCTCAGTTTCCTCATTATATTCCTTTGAAAGGGAATGTTACCCACCTGGCTATTCCTGAGTCTGGCTATGGCATGGATTTGATACTGCATGGTTGGAAAACTGAATTATCTGAATCCAAACATAACTAAGGATGTTTTATACTCTCAAAGTTGGGCCTTAAATCTAGTACCTGCTTTATATCTGGGTCCTGCAGTTTTTTCTGTCAGATTTATGTCTTCCAGACTATGGGCCATTCTCCTATAGTTGGTAGCAAATAGCGAATACCAGTAAATATTCCCACAATACTCCCTGGATGCAGCTTGTGTTCTGTTCCAGTCAACCTCTTCTTTGGGACCCCCTCAGGCAGGGACAGCTTTATGCCCCTTGCCATCAGGAAGCAGTTTCAGAAGCTAAAACCCTCATCCCTTACTCCAAAAGAATTTAGGTCCCATTTGTTTGAGGGGCATGATGTGATTGGCATCTGGGCCCCAGAAAGGAAAAACCTTGGACTTTCCCACTTGGCCAAATCTCTGGCTTTGGCCTGGGGCTATAATCCTATCAACTGGCATTTTATTGTGGGGCATGCAATCTCCCGTCCATTGTCTCCTTATGGCCCCCAGCCATTTCCCACCCTTAATCTTAGCTAGGCTCCCTTGGCCCCAGGGTCCAGGTCCCAGGAGTTCTGTTCACCCCAGTTTACTGGCCACTCCTAGGTCTCTCCCACAGGCTTTCTGTATGTAAGGTCCATTTTGTCTCCATTAAGATGTTTAGATTTTTATGATCTAGCCACTGCTGGGATTCTTGAAATCTAGCCACTGGTCAGATTCTTCTAATCTAGCCAATAGGTTACTAATGTTCAGACTCCTTAAGAGTCTGCCCAATATGATGGATGTTCTAAGAAACCTTGTCTTTGGCCAAAAGGTTTGGGTCAAATTCTTTTGGACAGGACCTGTGTGTTGTGATTTTGGGGTTCCAGCATCCCTAAACCCCTAAACCTCATCATTTTGGTGGCCTGTATGGGGCAACTGCCTAACCGCAAATTCTTCTCCAGCCAAGACTGGAAGGTATGTAAGCTTCCCCTCTCCCCTCCTCTCTTGCTCTGCAGTTGGGGTCGCTCTCCAAGAACAAAGGCTTGAAGGTGTTTTTTGAGCAGACAGTTATGAGGCTGTCTTGCACTCAGCCTGACGCTCTCAGGGTCTGGGTCCACTGGGTAGATTTAAGGCAATAGACCTGGGTACATCTTCCACAGTGTAGAGGACAAGAACGGATGCCTTATCTGGAAATGTATGCTCAGTTCTGTTAATTCCCTCGGAGCTAGGTAATTGAGGGAAAACAACAGTTGCTTTTTGGTTCCCTAAGGCTTACTTACTCCCTTCCCCTGGCACCCCTGAATCCTCCTTCATGGAGATTACAGGGAAAGTGAGAACAGCTAAAAATATCTTGGTAGATTCTATAGGTTTTGTGATGTTCAGACTTCTTAAGTGTGCCCAATATGATGAATATTCTAATAAATTTTGTCTTTGGCTGAAAGAAGGCTTGGGTCGAATTCTTTTAGGCAGGACCCACATGTTGTGACATTGGGTCCCAGCATCCCTGAACCCCAAAACTGCATCAACACCATCACTGGAGTTCATCACAACACAAGTGGTATGACCAGAGGCATACTGGGACAGCATAGCCTGGATGGCAATGTACATGGCTGGGGTATTGAAGGTCTCAAACATAATCTGAGTCATCTTTTTTCTGTTGACTTTGGAATTTGGGGGGGCTTCTGTAAGCCACATAGGGTGCTCTTCAGGGGCCGCATGGAACTCATTGTAGAAAGTATGATGCTAGATCTTCTCCATGTCATCCTAGTTGGTGACAATACCATGTTCAGTGGGGTACTTCAGGGTCAGAATACTTCTCTTGCTTTGGGCCTCATTCCCCACATAGCTATCTTTCTGGCCCAGGTTCACCATCATACCCTGATGTCTGGGACACCCAACAATAAAAGGGAAGACTTCCCGAGGGGCATTGTCTCCTACAAAGCTAGCTTTGCACTTTCCAGAGCCATTGTCAACAACTAGAGCAGCAGTATCATCATCCATGGTGAACTTTGAAGTGGCAAATTTAAACCCTTAAGAGAGAGAGGAGGTGGTGCTGCATCTGGAGGCAGGAGGAAGGCAAGTGCATTCTGGGTGGGAGAGCTCACAGCTACCTTTAGTCTACTTTTTATCCAATTCTACATAAATATTATTATAACCCTTCTCTTTTCTATCATGGCACCACATCCCTTCCTTCCCTGCTCCCAAACTGAGTATCTTGTTTCAAACTTCCTGAAAAACTGAGGACTTTAAATACAGCTTTCAATTCTACTTTCCTTTTTATCTCACATCACTTAAAAATCTTTGCTTACTATCTCTATGTATAGTCCAGTCTCAGATGAGAAGGTGGCCTTCCTGGCAAAAAACAGTTTCTTTTTAAATACCCTTGATTTTATCTCTTCTTCTGCTTTCCAGCAAATTGGGCTCTTTATCTTTCTTAATCCCTCTCTTATCTATTTGGTTTTTCACTTCAGCCTAAAAACATACCTATGTGTCCCCCATCTTAAAAACAAAACAGAAACAAACAGAAAAATGCTTTACTTGATCAGGTCATTGTCTCTAGTTATTGCTTATCTCCCCACTTCCTCCCTCACTACTGCTAAACTCCTTGAGAAAGTTATCTAAATCCAATGTCTTCAATTCTTCTGTCTTTTCCAAACCCCCTCAATATAATTCTAATCTCATCATTCAATTGAATGTACCCTCTCCAAAGTTACCAATAATCTCTTAATAGTCCTATCTAATGGCTTTTTGTCAATCTTCATCCTACTTAACCTCTTGGAATCATTTGATACTGTTGATTATGTTCTCCTTCTAAATATTCTCTCCTCTATAGGTTTTCATGACACTGTTTTTTTTTTCCTTCCTATTTATTTGACTGCTCCTCAGTCTCTTTGGTTGGATCTTTACCCATGTCATAAAAACTAAGTGTGAGTGTCCCTATGGCCCTGACCTAGACTCTGTTCTTTCCCTGTGCACCCCTACTTAGTGATACCAAATGTCCTGTTGGTATCTAAAACTCAAAATGTCCAAAACAAAACTTATCTGTTCCCCAAACCCACTTCTCTTTCCAACTTATAGGTTGCCATCTATTCCTATTACCACTCTCCTGTCAGTCACTTAGACCTAGGATTCCAGTGTCCAACTCTGTTTCTCACTTTCACTCTTACCACAATTCAGTAAGTTGCCAAATTTTGTAATTTCTTACCTTCATAACATCTATGCTCTCCTCTCGACTCACTTAGCCATTACCCTAGTTCAGACCTTCATCATCTTTCATCTATACTATTACCATAAATTTATAATTGTTCACCCTGTCTCAAGTCTCCCCTGACTCTGACCTATCTTCCAGTCTGTCAAAGCAATTTTACTAAAGCAAAAGTGTTTTCATGTCACTCTCCTCCTCAATAAATCCAGTGGGTTGTTATTACTTTTACAATTAAGCACAAAGTCCCTTGTTTGGCATTTAAAGATCTTAACAATCTGGCTCTTTCTTAGCTTTCCAATTTTGTTGCACTTCACTTGTCTCCACAGAATCTACCACCCAGCTATACTGGCCTACTCAAGATCTGATTGTTAAATTTTCAATGTGAGAATTTATACCTTCTACCTTGTTGATTATCTAGCCCTATGAAAGTGATACAAGAAATGTTAAAAGTACAGAATAAACTTAAAAGGGAGTCATACACTATTTTTTTCTTTTCAGAGAGCTTATTATTAAACATTTACCAGCATACACATGTTAGTATACCACTTCCCTTCTATTGTCTCCATGTGTTTGTTCTGACTGTTCCCCATAAATGATTTCCCTCTTCATTTTCATTTTGTAGTTTTTCATTATTCCTCCAAGACATAGCTCAAATTCCATCTTCCTGGTCTCCCTTTCTACTAGTTTCATCCTTTTGAAATTACCTTCAACTTATTCAGTGTGTACCTTATATGTAAATAATATCTTGAGTATTATTTCTTCAATAGGATATAAGTTCCTTCAGGACAGGGACTGTTTTTCTTTATTTTTTTCTTTGTTCTTTTTCTTTATGAAGCAAAGAATTACCCAGCACTTCATATACTGTCTATTAAATAGAACAAATATTAACTATGTCTGTAATTTCAGTGGCAATGGGAATTCCCAGGGGAGAAAGCTCCCTTTACCAATGAAAGATGGTACTATAATGTATAATCTTAGACGGTTGCCTAGAATATTGGAGATAATGTATGATTTTTCCAGGTTCCAAGCCCAGTATATATCAGGGGTAGGACTTAAGCCTAGGTCTTCCTAATGTTAAAGCAAGCTCTCTACAATCCTACACTGCTTCTTGGAATATGGTAAACACTTCGTCAATGCTTTTTTAGTGACTGATTGAAGGACTGGTAAAGCAGTTTTATTTTGTTGTGGGAAAGAGGAACAATCATACAAAGGATTACTTTTTAGTAAAGCTATTGATAAACCAGGTTAGAAAATGCTGGTAACTAAGACAGCCAAAATTTGGTTGCAGCATATCAGCTTGCCCTATCCTGAGAAAATTATTTCCTTTTATGAAAGTCAGTATCTAAAGAAAAGGTCCTCCTTCATTTGCAAATCATGGAAAATTATAGGCCCAACTTGTCATGGTATGAATGTTATGACAATGTCTTTGGGAAATAATCCAACAAACATTTATTAAACTCTAAGTGTATACAAAACACTTTGCTGGGGTCACAAAGTTTACACAATCCACACTGTTACGCTACAAGAAGACAATGCAAGTTATTATCTTGTATTGGGCTTGATGATATGTATGCCGTGTCGCTTCCTGGGAAAGATTTTGGGAGGTTGTCCCCTTCATAATTATCATTTCATAAGGAATTATTCTGCTGGTCTCCATTTAAAGTCAAATGGCATCTATTTTCTTGTATTAACTCCTCTTTTATGACAACAATTATGCCTTTCATAGATGTACAAGATGTTAGAAGGTGTGCCGCTTTAAAAACATCATCCACAATTGTGTAGAAAAGAAAAAAAAATGCAATCTCACACTTAGAATGAAGTCTGTGACTTTAATGGCAAATGAACACCAGGAATTTTAGTTAATACTGTTGATGTGAAATGTGAGGGGATGTTATAAAACTGCTCCCTGAGAGACATAAACACACTTCAAAAAATATGTAAGATCAATCAACACAATATGCAACTTCACCAGCCAACTGTTCCATGAAGATAAGACTATTGCAGAATTTTAACATGAGATGTGCCAATAAAATACACCATTCCCAGAATGATCCAAGATGAGAGAAACTACTGCTCCCTAGGCTAATAGAACCCAATCAAAAAACACTCATTTTTATTCAAATTAGAAATAATGACTTCTAATTATGTGACCAACATACCATCTCAATAAGTAGGAAATATTACCAGGATCTTTATGTAAACAGCAATTGAACAACAACAATAACAAAAACACTCTATTCATGTGTTCTTGGGAGAAAAAATAGCTTCTGTTAATTTGAGAACCATGAACAATATTTGGATGCCTTAGGCATTCTCTTGGAATTGTGTTCATGTGGGGCAGCATTTGGTCTCTCTCTCTTTTTCAACTTAACCAAAATTGCTTTTGTCACACAGACCAAGCTTGACTTCTACATCCACAATATTATTTTCCCAGACAAGTGTTATAACATACAGGATTGATTTCAAAAAGCCTGAGAGTGGGAAATGATCTTTGTCATCATTTAACCTGAGCCTCCCAACCTATGCGAGTATCCTTTCTGCAATGTCTATGAGAGATATTTTCAGCCAGGTAGCTCACTGGGTACAATTCTGGGCCTGGAGTCAGGAAGACCTGAGTTCAAATCCAGCCTCAGGCCTATATTTAGTTATGTGACTCTAGATTAATTACTCAACCCTTGTCTACCTCAGCTTCCTTATCTATAAAATGAGAATAATAATAGCACTACCTGTCAGGGTTATTAAAAGGATCTAACGAGATGATATTTTAAAAGCACTGTATAAATATTAGTTATGATTATGATAATTAATAATAATCTAGTCTCTTTTTAAAGCCTTATTATTGCCTTTTTTGTTGTTTTAAAATAAAGCAGTCATTCCCTAATATGTACCCCACCCCCATAGAACCATGCTTCATAACAAAGAAAAACAGTGAAGCTAAATCAAATAAGCATAGTAACCACAGCTGATAGCCTAGGTAACATTCCATACCCATAACCCTTCAACTCTTTTTAAAAAAAAGTAACAAATATACGTAACTACCATAGCTTTTACTACATAAGTATAATGAGGCACAGGTTGTGTCTCATTCTGAAAGCCTGGATCTTTCTAGAGTGTTTGAGTATAAAAAGATAAGGAAAATCTGTCATTTTACTAGCATTGATACTAGAATTTAGAAGTAATTGGAATTAATGCAAGACTCTGTTACAAGTTACAACAGGCAGGTATAATCTTTACAAAATTCAGATGATTAAATTTACATATCTTTCCATGAAGATATGCAACTGAGGTTCCTCTACAGCAAAGCTAAAATTAGCACATTAATTAAAGTTATGTTTTCAAATGTTAGGAGAAAATTTCTTTTCTTTTTTTTCCTTTATAGGACAAGGTTTTGTAGTGTTTGGTCAACAGAATCTTACAGCATCAGGAGATGACATACATCTGCAAGTGGCTGATGATATATTGTTTTCCTCTTTAAGAAATGTCTGGGGCTAGTTCATCTTCTTTCACATTCCTGACAGGAGAAATGTTGTATCACCTAGGATATAGTAAACCCCTTCAGCTACATATAGAAGAATTCTAGCCAGTCTTCACTAACATGGTAAACTAGTAAACCACAAAGGAAGAGCTGTTTACCAATTGAAAACTTGCAGCTACATTCTGAAAATTAAACAAGTATATGTATTTACAGTGATCTTCAAGTAAGACTTCCTTAGCAGGTTATTTTCTGAGAGTTAATTTTTTTTTTAGATTTCCAGGCTTGTTTCTCAGTGAAATCTGAATCAACAGATCCTAGGTT